CTTGGGAGGAAAGCGATGACAAACCTTGACAGCATTTTAAAAAGCAGAGACATCACCTTGCCAACAAAATTCCGAATAGTCAAAGCTATGGCTTTTCCTGTAGTGATGTATGGAAGTGAGAGCTGGACCATAAAGAAACCAGACCGCCGAAGAATTGATGCTTTTTAATTGTGGTGCTGGAGGAGGCTCTTGAAAGTCCCCTGGACTGCAAGGAGAACAAACCTGTCCATTTTGAAGGAAATCAAACCAGAGTGCTCACTGGAAGGACAGATCCTGAAGCTGAGGCTCCAGTACTTTGGCCATCTCATGAGAAGAGAAGACTCCTTGGAAAAGACCTTGATGTGAGGAAAGTGTGACGGCAAGAGGAGAAGGGGACGACAAAGGATGAGATGGCTGGACAGTATCTGCGAAGCAATCAACATGAAATTGACACAACTACAGGAGGCAGTGGAAGATAGGAGGGCCTGGCATGCTCTGGTCCATGGGGTCACAAAGAGTCGGACACGACTAAACGACGATGACGAGGTTGGTATGCCATTTGGACACCAACCTGCTACTTCATGTTACATCAAGCAACCCTATTTAGACCACACCAATCTGTATCATTGCAATCACACTGTATGTGAGAAACATACAGGCAACAGTGCCACCAAATTAATGTAAGCAAAGATTATGGAGAATTCATTACAGCTAATTTACTGGTGATATTATACTCCAAAACCTTGGTCCAAGAATATTGGAGACATTATAATGAAGATGGTACTTTTTACACACAATGTATCCCTTTAAAATTTAGGAACTAGAATACTAGAGAAGACAGAAAAAATTATGGATGAGCTTATACCGTTTCCCTGAAAATAAGACCTAACCTGAAAATAAGCCCTAGTATGATTTTTAAGCCCTATCCCCCAAATAAGCCCTAGTTACTGTAAGTGAAAGCCCGCCCTCCACCATTGTGTAGCAACCCAAAGAAGATGACATGGCTGTATTTGAATAAGTGTAGATTGTTGTATATGAAAAAAAAGCATCCCCTGAAAATAAGCCCTAATGTGTATTTTGGAGCAAAAATTGATATAAGACCCTGTCTTATTTTTGGGGAAACACGGTAGATATGTCACCTATTTGGAGTTTTCTTTTGATTTGTGAAGAAAATAATAAAGATTTGCTTCATAAGGAAGTGTTCACATTCTTCTGGATATCAACAAGAACAGACATAATAGCAGCAAGTTGGAAATCAATCAGCCATTTGGAAGTTAGCCAGCTGGATATAGCCAGTTGGAAGTCAGTTGACATTCTTCTGCAGGGTAGTGAGCATGGAAATATCAGCCAGCTGGAAGTCAATCAAAGTGCTTTCTAATATAAAATGGTGCTAAGAATTAGAATTAATGGAGATTTAGCCAAGCAAATTATGCATCAAAAACCAACTTCTATTATATTTGAATGTATGGACAATGGTAACTGAAAGAGCAACATGATATGACTTTCTCTCAGGCCAACTACAGATACTAGAGATAACCTGAGCACAAAGAGAAAAAATGCTTGTGAAAGTCTCTGAATGTCACTGTAGGAAGTTCCTTCATCTCTGAGATTAGGCAAATGATCTTGCTTTGTTTAGGCAATTAATGAGTTAGCTTTTTATGGATGGCAGTATGTAGGGTGAAATATTTATCACTAATATTGCTAGTAAAAAGGAATCCTTATTCAATAGCATTATGTAATGCAGACAATATGTCTTGGCTGAAATCCAAAACATAGATTTGGATTTTAACTAGAATAGGCCCATTGAATCCATGGAACATACAGGGATTGACTCACCAAATCCCTGATTCAATGGGCCTACTCTATTTACAACTTATTGCTGGGTTTCAGCCAATATGTTAAAATCATTATTTGAATATTGATCATTGACTGCAATAAAGAAATTAATTAATTACTTTGTTTGGTGATTGGTTTTCAGGACTTCAGTACAGAATTCCTCCGAAGCCTAATTTCATAAACGTAGAAGTCCCCCTCAGTCACTTTTCTGTGAGATTAACATGCTTTCAGCTTCAATAATGGGCTTTATTGAACATCTGTTTTTGGCCTAATACTTGCTAATCTGTGAAAAGATGTTAGTGCTTTAATAGCACAAAATGCACACACACAAGAGCACATATTAACTCACTAAATTTTGTCATTTGTTGCAATTATAATTATTGTTGAATCTTAAATGCTAATGCATTCACAGAAAGAAACCCAGGGAAAAAAGGAAAGATATAATTGCAGATTATTCCTAGTCCTGCTTTGGAGTGTTACTCTTTATGGTATATGGCTTCAGACATTCAGCAGTGCACTGATGCATGATTTAAAGTTTTTATAGGGATGTCTTCAGACCTCAAGACTCCTCTGTTGTGTGCAAATCAACTGCAACTTACATGGTTCTATATAATTCTCTACAATAAAGCTCACTATTTTTCTTCCATGTTAAAGTCTGGGTGTGCAAGGCCATCTAGATGTTGTTGAACTTCAAATCTTATAATTCGTCATCATAAGTTTAGGGCTGATGGGAGCTACACTCCATCAACATCTGGAGGACCATATATTTCCTATCCTTGTTCTATGTTGTTCTCCAAATTGTTCTGCTTGGTTTTCAATACCATAGAGTGGTGTATATCAGTTCAGAATACTACTCACTACTTTCATTGCCCCATCTGGGTGGGAAAGGTCCTATTTTGCTCAACTCATCCCCCGAGTTTTGACTATGAAATTCATGCTCCCCATTTTTCAAATACTATTTCACTTGCTTTCTCTAGGGAGGCAAGATGTTACCCTGAACCTGAATAGTGGCTTTCTTTTCAATTCCTGTTTAATATTTCAAGAACCACTTTTGAAATATAATTTGCATTTCATAAAGTCTGAATAAATTGGCCCTCAATCTCTTCCGTACTTTTTCCCTCAGACTTCTTTATTTAAATGCAACAGCAGTTGGATAAGTTTGGCAAACAATCAATTTCTATTGCATTTTTTGAGTAGTAACAAAGGCTTCTCTGCCAGTATGCTTTGTGACTTGAAATCAATCAGCAAATACACTTTATATTCAAAAAAATTCTCAAGTACACTTTGCTTTTTGTAGTTTATTTTTGGCCCATAACCTTAATTATACTGAGAAATTTATAGTTTCTATAATAACCCTTTTAGAAACTATTTTGTAAACAAATAAACAAAGCAAACTGAAGCACCAGAAAATTAATCATTCATATAGTGCTTAAATTAATTGAAACTGCAGCCTGTGATTCATTTGACCTTGATACATATTCACTGATAAAAGAAAGAAAGCAATTAATTTGAACCAAAAGCATAACAGATGGAGACAAGAACACTTTAGTCCTCATTTGATGATGAAAGTTTGTGTAAATGTGGTCCAGAAATATACTCACCCCACTATGCAGCATTTTCTTGCCCAGAAAGTGCCAATATCATTTGGTCTGAATGTGATGTAGGAGTATGAACCTGTCAAAAATAATCTACAATCCAGTGATGGAGAATATGGGTTATTTTACTGTAGTAGCCATGCAGTCAGAGAGAAAGACAGAGAACTGAAGCAAAATAGTTTCCCATGAATTCAAATTCAGATTGTGCAGAAATGAAATTTTATGGAAAGTGGTCTTGGAATAAATCCAGCACTATATTGGAATAAATTCCATATGGAAAAATCCAAACATACCTAGCTGTAGGTCAGCTGGCAGGTTTAATCCCCTTCCTTCCCTAATCATTAGCACTACAGCAAGAATTTTCTGCTTAGCCAAGAAACATAGTTTAACATTTGTCAGTACTAAGTAGTACAATCCTATGTGTTTTTACTCCACAGTAAATCCTGATTTCAGTGGGACTTACTCCTTATTGAGAATGTATAGCACTGCAGGGTAGATATCATGTCTGCGAAAAGCACTTGATATTCTTCCCTGATCAAGTTTTAAAAGAAGAACATGCTTTTCTCTGCTGATTTCATTTGAGCCAGAGGACATTATTGCTGAGTTTATGGCCAATGTGTGCATTTTCTTGCTAAATATTCAAATGATGTGTTTAGCTTTACGTTATTAATTAACACAACTTATTTTCCTTAGCCAACTGAGGACTTGGAATCCAGCATCAAACAATCTGAGTGGGAAACTGACAGTCCCTGAGGTCATAATTTTGCCACACATGATTTTGATGAAAAATAGGAAGCAGCACACAAGACTATTACATTCCTCATTATTGCTCATCTAAAAATTGGGATATTTTAAATCCTAGGCACATTTTCCCCAGCCCTGGTGTTTCTCAGATGTGTTGGACTACAACCATTGACCATCCCCAGCCAATATGAGGACGGGGGAGTGGGAGTACAGTATATTCAGAGGGTTTGGAGAGGGCTGCCCTACTCAAAGGATAGTGCTCCCATTTCTCATGGCTGAAGCCATTTGCTCAGGCTTCTGAGTGGTGATGACGAGTCCCAAAAGCATGGAGAAGGGGGCAGAGCAGTTAGGGAGCCCTTTCCAACATAGCAAAGATTAAGTCCATCTATCTTACTTGAGTTGCTTTGATTTTTTTTTTTAATTCATCGCTGTGCACTTTTATTTCTAACCATAGCCTCAAGGATGATGCCAGCCTTGTTCTGTGATTTGTCCCCTTTTCCTCCTCCAGATGTCCAAATGGATTCTTCGGACAGAGATGTTTGGAGAAACTGCCTTTGCGATTGTACATGCCAGATCCTAAGCAAAGTATGTTTGAAGACAAAAATTGCACCATACTACTTAAAATCTCCTGGGTACAGCGCTGGATTTAGAGTGGCATAGTGAGGGTGTTCTTTTGAGTTAATATCTGGGCTAAGGTTTAGGGAACACAGGTAAGGGACCAGCCAGAAGTACATCAGGAGAAGACTCGAAAGGGAGCTAAGTTGGCATCAGAAAGGGCCTCGTTTCAGTCTGCTTGGATATCATGCTATCTTGTTTCTCTCTTTCTGGTTTTCTTTCTTTCGTTAGGTGTCCGAACGAATTCACAGGGGACCAGTGTCAGAACTTCGCAATGGCCAGCTTTTCCAGTATGTCTCTTTCCACTTCTCTCTTTCTCTGATTTATCATAGCACACTGTGTGACATCTTTAAAGAAACTCTTTTCCCATTTCGAGCCTTCGGACTTCAGCTGTTTGTTTGAATGGTTATTGACCTTCATTCTAATCCGAACAGATCTCAACTATTGCTATATACTTCAGGTAGAATCTAAATCTAGCAAAGGGCGAGGCAGGGTGAAGCATGAGCTGCCTAGAACATTTCATCCTGTGTTCCCAGGGATGGATAGCTTAACATTTGTAAAACAGAGGCAACTTCAGGTAGAATCTAAATCTAGCAAAGGGCAAGGCAGGGTGAAACATGAGCTGCCTAGAACATTTCATCCTGCGTTCCCAGGGATGGATAGCTTAACTTTTGAAAAAGAGGCAAGCCTGATTTTGGGGATCCACTGTTGTGGCAGTAGAACAAGCCGCATGCAGCTTTATAGCCCAGTGGCTAAACAAGTTGTTGGGAGAGCCAGGAATTGCTACTGTTGGCGGATGCCAAGAGATAATACTGCAGTGTGCTAGAGCTGCAAACCTAAGGCATTTATCATGGCATTTTGGATGAAATCCATTGGCCCAATGCCTAGATATTCCTGTACTGATCCATCTCACCCCAAATGTTCCTCCTGTGGCACAGGTGCAGGGAATCTGCTAGGGTTAATCAAACAAGTCCCCTAGCATCATCTTGGACACTCTGCAGTTCAGTATTCATAGGGAATTCTGGCAGCTATTCAGAAAGAAAGCTCTGATCAGGCCTTTCCTGGTATTTGCTTTTTAGATGTAGCACAAATTTGTACCTAGTTGGGATCAAATTTGGAAGGCTGGTCATAGTACTGGATGGGAGATTCTACTAGTCCAAAAAAGTGTTTGTTTTTTTTCAAAACTCTGATCAGACTTTCCATTGTGTTTGTTTTTTCAGATGAAACATAGGCTCTTACTCATTATGGCTCTGGATTAAATTCAGAAGCTGTTCCTTGGAGGACAGCTTGTTCTTATTTAAAAAAAAAAATGGGAAGGGAAGCATTTGCTAGCTCTACCTTCCAGTCCCATCTTCCTTAAAATTGTCCTCATTGGCTCACCCAAGTGAGTTTTAGCTTACTGCAATCCTTTTCTGTTAGGAAGATAAGGACAAGGTAAAAAAGCAGTGGTGGTTCCTGCCCTAGTGCTCAACTAATTAAGGGACACTCCTGGTAAGCACTATGCCTAATGCACTAGCCTGTACCCTAGTCCATGGGATTATGCATATCATGACCAGGTTACAAATTAAGGAAAGTAGCTTGTGGTGGAAGATATAAATCCAAAATGCTGTATACACTTCTCCGTTGAATGGCACAGGTCTGAACAGCATGGTTTTGGTTTTTTGAAAATGAAATATTTCAATAAATCCATCTTCAATAAATAAATAGTCAATAAATACTGTGCCACCCAGAACGCCATGAGTAACACTGAAGGTGTCGAAGTGGTTTACTTTCCCTGAGCACAACATCTGTAATTCAGTGTCTAGATCAGGTCATAAAGCCCTGTAAGACTCATTACACATGGTATTGTAAGGAAAGGATTGTCAACGCTATGGAAGGGAACTCCTGTTAGAGAGAACTGTTCTCTCTCTCCCCCTCTCCTTGTATGTGTATTGATCAGCTATTTATGCTTTGAAGTTATGTTTTGGGGATGTAAGAATTATATGAGGATTTTGAATTACCTGGGTCTGGTGCCCCTAACCCATTGTTGAAGGGACAAATGTAATTTGAAAGAGAAAAAGAATGAAAGAAATAAACTTAGGCCCTCTGGTCTGGATCATTTATGTGGCATTTGTTAACAGCTGGATTGCCTATATGGGGCTTAACTGAAGTGGGCTGGATCGGGCTCAGTTGGATTGCTTACTGTCAGCTAGAAGTCTGGTATGTCATTTGGTGTGGCCCTTGTATCCAAATGGCATACACACCTCAAGAGACCTTGCTTGGCCACCTCCCTTATGGAAACAACAAAAGCAGTAACAAAATAAATCCTCCTCCTTACTGTCCTCTGGAAGGAAATATTCATTTTTTAAAAAATTACTAGACATGTTATAGACTTATTTAAAAATGCTGCCTTCTTCTAACCTTCCAAGGAGGAGCAGAGCAAATGTTTTAACTTTTCAGTACAGTATTGTAAAGTGGCTAAGCTGTCTTCTTGAGCCAGTTAACAATACTCTGTGTCAGGAAACTAAAAGTGGAAGGGAAATTTAAAGCCCCAAAGTTCCCTTTGGTTCAGTTGCAGTGATCACATATTCCGGAAATGAATCAAAACAGAGAGATCTTACCCACACTGAAAAGAACAGTAGCCCCTGGCAAGGGCTCAGACAGGTGCAGGAAGGAACGCTCTGGAGCGGGGTGATTTGCTCTAGCAATTATGTCATCTGATCACTAGCAAAAGGAAAAAAAACAAAACAGCCCACCCCCACGGCAGACCAAACGGCAAGATAAATACCCATCTGATTGTACCCAAAATTGTATTGCACACCACTTCATTCAGTAATAAAACTACTATTTTTTTGATTCCTTAATTTCATTAAACCTTAGCTCAATACAGGTTCTAGTTAATAAACATATTTCTCAGTATCTTTTATGAGGATAATCTATATCTCTCTTCAACGTGCATGGCGTTTTTAATGTACTATATATATTTGTAATTAAATTAAACAAAAATAATAATCAAAATCAAAAGTACATAAAACTAAAATTCAATAAAAGGAGTACGAAGGTAAAATAAATGTCAGTTGTTTCTAAGCTCAGGGTCCAGGCTTGTCCTGTGCCTGAAATAATATAAACAGTTCAATTTTTTCATGCCTTGTGCAAGGAGGTATCCAGTACCTATTTTTCCAAATAGGAATCTCCACTTACATACCACAACTGCTTTGTGTAAGTGTGAGGTCCCAGATGACTGCACCAGCAGAGTGTTATCCTTCACCAATGCTCAACAGGATCATATTCCAGCCAGGACTTCCACTGCCAGTGTACGATAGTGGGCCAGAGAATATCCCACAAGTAAGTGAGGAAAATCTGGGAGAAAAAATGTCAAGCCTAGAATGCAAACATGCTTTCTAAGATTTCTTTTAAAAGGAAAGAGAGCAAAATTTGCCGTTTCCACTACTGAAATCTCTTTAGTGAGCACACTTCTGTCATGCTTTCAATAGCTGAAGAAAGCTAGGATTTCAAGTTCCATTAAAATATATAGCCATCACCAATCTCCTGTATAACCAAGCCTTTTGAGATTTCATTGAGGCCCATATGAATTGGAAACAACTTAAAATGCATATTTAAATGCATATGAGCAGATTGTTCCAGTGTTAAAAAATTATAACTAATCTATTCTGTTTACATGTAGTTATTAGTAGAGATGGGGGTATTCACATTTGTATATGACTATAAATATCACCGTCTCTAGTTATTAGTTGAAAGGTGCAGCCTTTGGAAGAAACAGTCAACCGGAAATTAATCCCTACCAGCTCCATTTTCAAAGAAATTAAGAAATAAACTGTCAAATATTTTTTTCATTGGGCAGTGTGGTCAGTTTTCTCCACTGTGTTTCTATGTCCTTAAGGGCAATTGGGGCAGGTGCCAGCTAACCAGCCCTAAGGGGTTTATTATAATCTCAGTTGTGCTGTGCCTTGTGCACTGCAAACTTTGAAGATTTTTTATGTGTTAACTTGCAGATTGGAGATAACTTTTTTCTCTTTGTAAGCAAAGTTGTGAGACAGTTAACAAAATTATGGGGCAATTGCACTCTGAGAATTAAGCTACTGGCCATGATTCTTTTATATTAAATGGATAAATTGGACTGGGGCTGAAAGACATGTGTGAGTTCATAAAGGATGAGTTGTTGAGCCCAAAATACAAGCCTATAGAACATGTTTACTGAATTTAATCCTGGAACCTTAATTTACAGTTCCCAAGTGTTCTGAAACATAAAAAAAAACCAATGTGTGCAATGAGAGAAGCAGTTATCCACAAAAGCTAACCTCTGTCATTGTGGGGCAGATGAGAGCTAGGAGGTTGTTGCACCTGCTATCAACCTGTAGAAGACAACTGTACCCTGACTCAGATAGTAAATCAGAAGTTTCCCATTTGGGGTTTATCCTTGCTAGCCGTGAAGCAGTTGTGTTGAGGAGACTTGTGGCAGTGGCATAGCATGGCATGGGCATAAAGCCCAGCCTAGATCTGCCAGAGTGCAGGAGTAGCTCTCATTCTGATGAGTGCTCATGGTTCTTGATTCCCCCACCATCACCAGCATCATTCTCTCTGCTTTGCTGTAGGGTTTTCTGGATGAGTGTCCTTCCTATACATGTTTCAGGAACTGGATGCTTATCTGCCTGTAGTGCCACCTGTAATTGCAGTCAACCAGCATGAATGATTGCGGCAACATAAAATAGATATTGTTGTACAGGGTTGCACAATACAGTTCTCATAGACAGCTAACTATACTATGACCGCTCTCGAGCCATAAATATATGTGGCATTTAATGTAGTTTCATAGGTAAAACTAGTCAGCTCCCTCTCCCCAAGGAGCTTACTATCCATATACATTACAAAGAATTCTTGGAAGTTTTCTGTGTAGCCCTTCATAATGAAAAAATTACAGACAGTTTGGCATTGCTGTGCTTTTCCTATGAGGACACTTTCTGAGACAGCTACTAGAGATGTTATCTCTTCCCATTAACAATGTCATAGTGCTTTATGGTATTAGTTCTTTTTAAATTTTTATGTTAGATGTGCTAAATCACTTTTATTTTTCCAATACTTGAATATTCCCTCCAACCTGATTTACTGAATTTCGAGTGTTACAACTTTAAATCCTGTGGTTCAGATTCTCCTTCTCTTTAACAGTAACAAAGAACAGAGTGTTGGAAAGAGGATCCAGATTAGGAATTAGGTTTTCCCTGTGCCATTTTCCTGCTGAAAATACTGCCACACTCACACTGCTTCTTTTGTTGGGATGCGGTTCAGTTAATCA